TTTGTAAACATGTTTTGTACTTTAAATGAGGAAAAATAAACATGCGTCATGGATGTGACAAAAAAGTCTGCAGGATTAGAGTAAAATATACTTGGTAGAAATTCTGTGAATTAAACGGCACAGCCCAAAAGAAACAATGCTAATCAAAAGGATAAGAGTTGACTCTCTATAAAATGAAAATTATTGGTTTTATTTTATTTAATATTTTCAAATTTATGAGAAAAACAAAAGTGTCATTATGAATGTGACATCTCTCGGTTATGGATGTGACGGATGTGAAATTGGCACTTGTGTGACTTTGGTAAATCAAATAGAATAGTTTGAAAACATTGATATATATATATATATATATATATATATATATTTTTTTTTTTTTTTTTTCTAAATGCAAACCAAGACGCTCTTAAATAAAGTATTTATTGATGACTATTTTAAAAACAAATATATTTTCACCATCTCGACTTTCAAAACTATGTAAATACAAAGTTTGGGATAATGATGTAAAGTCAGTTTTACATGCGCACATTCGTGCAGTGACTACATGTGACATGCTCCTTATATTGTTTACCATGGTACTTTGATATTGGGTCTGAAATAACATTAGTATCACTTCAAAACAACATTAGAACTATTTAATTGATTGTAAACAATGTTGTACTTTGATAGGGAAATTAAATTAGCAGCATATGACTATTTAAAATTTCCAAAGAATACCTTTATGAAATTATATTACTATTTAATATACAAAGAAAGTCTGAAGGTGTTAATATTAAACCAACTTTACCTCAATGTATCATTACTACAGCTCTGCAAAAAATATAAATGTATATCAAGGCAAATTTGAATAACTGATTTAATGAAATATCAAGTTCACAAACAAGTCAGGATGAATCAATAACACTAAATACCATTATTATAACAGATAAAAACCCAAAGCACGCAGGATTAGTGTGTTCCCAACTCCAACTGAGACTCAGTCTGGCGACCTGATTTGCTTCACACAAAAACAAGCAAGTTGCTGAATCATTGATCCGAACTACAAATAAGCATGCAGATGAACCGACGGACTAAATAAAGCATAATGCAGCACTCACCTCAATGTGATATAATGCACAGCCTTTCACAAACTCTCTGATATTACTCAAGCACTCGTCCTTCCTCGGGTCCTGGTATATCTAAAAAAAATAAATAAATAAAGCGAACAGATAACTCTTCTGCGGTGCACAAAAAAACGTTTAAGCAGGTTTTTCAAAGAGTAAACACAAACTTGTGCGAATACGCCATTTGTTTTTATCACAGGTCATCGCCCCGTTCCTGCAAAAACCACTTATTCTTCTCAGGGAAGTTGGCGAAGGAATAGCGGAAATGACGTGCGCTAATAGCTCGCGCTTGAGTTCAGCGAGAGGGGCATGTTGGCACAGGCAAATCCCAACAAACACACAACGTTGCCTCAACGTAGCGACCTTCCTACAACGTTGTACCAACCTTGCAAAAAGGTTGAGGATTCTACGTTGTTGCTAAACGTTGTCACAACGATGTCATAAGGTTGCCATTTAAACATCACGAGGGCCGCATACTTTAGGTTGTGCTTAGGTGGCGTGGACAACCACTGTACAACATTTACTGGTCACAGCTGAATCCGTTTAAATTTCAACAAGCCGTCGTCTCATTCATCAACGACCGAGGAGACGTGAGTATTGCTTTATTTCTTCTTGCTAAATAAGATACGTAAATCGTGAATATTCAAACAAACCTACGATTTCGACAACAATCTGTTCCAACATTACACACACACAAAAGCCGTAATGAAGTTGTTACGAGCGAGTAACATTTCAGCATTCCGTTCACGGACGGCGACAACATTAAAATCATTATGTTAAATCTCTCGATAAAACATTTCCTGATTATTTACCTACGCCTAGTCTTTAGTCAAATGGAAAATAATGTTTTTAAAGTTCAGTTTTTTCCATATCCATCGTGATCAGTCAGTATGATACTTCCTCACTCGAGCCGACCCACTATTTACAAAACACACAAAATAACTTTTAAATACAAAACACCTCTGTGCAGATTGCGTCCCGTTAAAGGGACAGTTCACTCAAAAATGATTTGTACTTACAAATTATTTGCCCTGTAAATAATAAGTGATTCCAAACCTTTAAGTTTCTTTATTCTATTGAACACTAAAGACTGTAAGCATTTGCTTTCATAGTAAGAAAACACTAATTAAATAGTTACAGTTTTCCAGCTTTATTTAATACATCTTCTTTATTGTTTAGCAGAAAAAAAGCTAAATAAGTTTGGAACAAATAAAGGATGAGGCTAAAATGGCAGAATTGTCAGTTTTGGTTGAGCTATCTCTATAAGTTAAAGTATATAAGTTGATGTTCATATGCCTAATTAATATAGATATCAATAAAAAGGTCTGCTAGTCTAAATTTCTATTTTGATTGATCTTTTGATGTTTTATTTAAAACCCACTCTTTTATTTGCTCAGCAGGCTATTTTCACATGGAGGTAATCTTCTATTGATAATTTCTGGATTTTAATTATGTGTAAGTTGCATAAAACTCTATTGTTTAACCACTCACTCACTGTTGTTTGCAAATTACTCGTGTAACTTGTCTTTCAGAATGTTTTCAGCTGTTGAATTCACCTCAGATCAGTGTTGCTGTAATTCCCGATCTATGGAAAGAATAATTGGATGAGGTAAGAAGTATACTACTCTATTTACTATCATAATAAATGTAGTATTGTTACCTAAAACAGCATGTTCATAATGTGGAAAATAGATCATGCTTATGAAAAATTACTTTATTATTTTGTACAGCTATTATTGAAATGACACTAAGTTTAACATTCCATTTACAGCGAGCAACGCCACAACTACAGGGCCTGTTCTTTCTCTTCTCATCATTTAAGTAAGTATTGGGAGACTAACTCTGACTTCTGTTAACTCAAACCTGTTTTCCCTGTATCTCTAAATTTATTTAATTGTATGTAATTTTGGTATATGATATATTATTAAAGCATTAAAATAAAGTAGGCTACATAATTACTCACTGGAGATTTTATATGTAATGAAATTACAATAAATGTCTGAAATTTCAATAACTTGCTAGTCATATTCGTTTCCATCTGTCCTCTCTTGTTCACTGCCTATTTTGACTTGTGTCTGCTGTGGATCTCTGAAGCTGGATTATCTGTTGAATTTGTTTCTTCCTCTGACTGCTTTCTCCATACCAACAACTATGCCTGGTCTTCAGCTGCGCTCCCTGGTCTGCTGTATTCTCCAGTCCAGAGCTTCACTGCCCAGTGTCTGAATTTTAATTTATATATATATATACACACATTTTAATGATTTCTTGTTTACTTTTATTGTTTGTTTACC